CCAGGGAGTTTCACAGAGCTGTGTCCAGCACCAGTGTGGGACGCGTCTGTCCAGCCAGGTTCAGATGAAAGACAGGGCTCAGCCCCTTGCACAGAGCTGGAGTGGAGCTCTACAGCCTGCGCAGTGTTTCAGGTCACAGGGGGACATGGAAACTCTCCTCACACACAGGGGACCAGCAGGGTCCAGCCTCCTCACACACAGGATTCAGGTTACCAGACTGGAAGGAGAGTTGAGATATTACTAATGTTCATAACCAGCCTCGTGGAACACAGAACCTAAACTGCATCTTTCAGTTGAATTGCTGCCTTTTCTTCGGTGCTGAATAGTGACCTGTAGTCTCAGCGTGCACTGAGGCTCCAGCTGACATACTGACTGACCTGCTGTCTGGTCAGTGCAGGACCTGTGGACAGCTGGTCAGAGAAAAACTATAGAAACAAATGAGAAGTGAATAATGACAGACAAGTCTGGATAGTGGCACTGATCATTCTGGATTTGATTTTCATCACTCAGTTCACACAGCAGTAGAGGTTGTTGCTCTTAGACTCTGTTCTGTCTCAGGGGCTCCTGTGTCTCTGGGGCTGATGGGCTCTTTCCCTGCTGATGAGAATCGGCCCCCCAGCCCCCAGGCCTGACAGTCTTGAGTAAATTGCAAAACACATCTACAGAGGCTTAGAGAGCACAGCTTCATTTCCAACATAATAAATCATTATAATTGAAAAAATAAAATTAGACTTACAGAAACACTTCCACAGTGTGAATGAGTGTCAGTGGGAGGCTGTGCTGAAGGGGTCTGGACAGGCTGAGAGCGGGACACTCTTCTCTAGTGTCTCTACTATAGTGGGGACGACACCTGTCCATCACTGAGTCAGAGCTCAGACTGCTGCACAAGAACACCCAGAGACAGAGAGAGACCCTGTGGGAGAGAAAACAGAATTAGTGCAACAGAGCTCTAACATCAGGAATACCAGTATAACTAACAACATATTTATAAAGATACAAAGCCAGGTGTGGAAAAAGATCAGAGAATGAGCTGAATTCTCCTGCAGAACCGAGGACGACTGCAGAGCAGCGGTCAGTCTGAATTTATAGCAGCAATAAGGGACAGAGCCCAGCAGTGCAGAACCAGTCAGAAGAGGAAAGGACATGAAACACATACAGGCAGAGTCAGTGTTTCTAGTTGAAGAAATAAGGAAGGAAAGAGAGAATAATCAAAAGGAATCCATAACTAAAAGTAACTGTATTAAGATCAATACAGATTTATTTACTGATTTCCAAATTCAGAAACCAGACTAGAGATCATTATTAATTTCAAGCAATCAGATTCAAACCTTGTAAAACACAGTTGAAGTACACAAAGAAAGTGTGTGTGTGAATTCAGAGCTCCGGCGTCTTGTCTGTCTGTGTGTCAATTTAACTGGCGACACAACCGTTCAGATTCACCAAATTAAGAAGTCTGGGTAAGTTTAAGCTTGTGGCTAAACTGATACACGAAGTCGTAAACAATAAGGCGTTAATAGACGTAGAAAGAGGTAACTGAATATTAAATGCAAGAGAATTATGAAATATATATACAAGACTTAAACTGCAAACTTATGGATAAATCATGTTGGAGAATTAAAATATCAACATAATGCATAAAGGTGTTTATATATACAGTACATCTCAAAAATAAAGGTGCATTATGATATATAATAAACAAAAGGTCTGCACAAAACAAAAGTGAAACAAGGAAAGAACAGCAGCTCAAGCAGGGAGCTGTGTCAGCATGCGCAGGCTGCAGAGGAACAAGGTTTATTCCTGCTGAGAAGAGAAGAAAAGAGACACTTTTCTCTTTCCTTGTCCTTTGAGCAGGAAATAAGCCTTCACCTGTTCCTCTGCAGCCTGCGCATGCTGACGCAGCTCCCTGCTCATACGTACTGCACATCTCCAGCTCTACAGCATTCCTGCTTCACCGCGCTGTGGAGGGTATTCGAGTAATTGCTGGGATCTGTCCATCAGCCTTCACCGGTATGTTAAGACAGAATAAAGCTGACTCACTTTCACAGCTGCAGCAGCTTTCTACAAGGCGTTAACAGTAGAAGCAATCACAACTTTTGTACTTTTGTCTCAAACATCACAGAACAGGAGGCAAAGTGTGAAACAATCTTCTTTCTGAGCCAGCAGAGGGGGCACTTCACAAGTCCTGCTGACCCCAGTGGAAACTGTCCAACATGTCTGTAGGACCACGCATGACGTAAAGCAATTCGCTTAAAAGGGAAAGACAGTCCAGCCCCTGTGGAGTTTAAAACACGTCTCCTGGGAGAATAGAGAATCCAGATTTGTGTTATTAATCCTGATTTTGAACCTATGCAGAAAGGTGCCAGACTTATGTGCAAGTAGTTGTCATTTGTGTCTTTTCTAATCCAGAACTCGAGGCTGTGCTGATTTTAAAGAGATGGAAGTGCTACACGTGTGATCTCTCGCGAGACGCAGATTCACAGAAGGGGGTAATGAGATCTTTGCCTGAAGTCTCATCATGCTGCACTATTTCATTTCTCAGTGGGCACGACTCACAGGCGTCTAAAGTTATTTCACTGAGGGCCTAAACAGGCCTCTGGCACAGACTCGAGAAGGGACACAGACCTCATCATCTCGTCTCCCCGGGAAACATACAGGGACCACATTAGATGTGCTGCTCCAGCTCTTTGTTGTCACGTACAGTAAAGGTGTCAGCTGTCGTTCTAGATGTGGGCTTGTAGAGGAGTGATTGTGATTGTGAGAGGCTGCTGTAGGACACAGGAGTGACTGGGCAGAGCTCACCTGCAGGCCTGAATCAGAGACCTGGTTTCCCTGAGGTGAGAACTGGGTACGGCTGTGCATCACGAACACAGGACAGTTTCCAGGCAGGAGCAGAGCACTGGATGACTGAGTCCAGGGTGACGATGTCCTCTCCAGCGCCAGCAGTCTGGTCAGTGCGGGGTGGGTCCTGTCCGGGCAGCAGGGACAACAGCCAGGGGAGACCTGAAACACAAGACAAGCAGGTGAGATATTTGATTTTGACACAGAGAGCTTTAACACAGGGTTACTGACAAGCAGCACTGTTGCAGGAAGTCAGAGAGAAGAGAGAATAAGAGACAAGTCAGAAAGACACTGCAATGAGAATATTCTCAACTAAAGCAAATATTAACAAGTCTGATGATGAAATGAAAAACAATGACTGTCCAGTAGAGAAATGGCATCTGTCCCAGGACACTGTGGGGCTGCTGAGCTCTGGAGCACAGAGTGCTCTCCGGACCTCTGGAGACATTTGAGTTTTACAATCTAAACTGAGCTTCACGACACAGGGAAATGACACTGATACTACTGATGAAGAATAAAAATCTGCTTAGATGTATTTCACTGAGTCTTCTGTTTGTCCCTCAGCACAGACCTGTCCAGTCCACAGCAAACAACACCAGTCCTCTGCTCTGTTAAATACCGTAAAACTCTAACAGAGGCAACAAATTCATTATACTTACATTTCTAAAAGATTTTTTTATCCAGCTGGTCTCTCGCATCAGTAGACGTTGACAAGATGGGTTTGGCTGACAGGGTCTAATTCTTTTCTTTTTTTTCTCTACAGCATCAGAAGAACCAGCATCTGAAACAGAAAAATGAACAAAAAGGGCTCTGAAAAAGAGTAATCTCCTGCCAGAGATCCTTCCACACACATCAGCTGTGCTGCCTGCCTGCTCGTTTTGACAGAATTCGTACCTGAAGACAACAGCCAAGCTCCATCAGCCTCAGCTGACAGTAACTGGCAATCACTCCTGAGCTCATATCCCCACCAAAAACATTCTAAATACAGAACATAACCCCCTTCATCCCTCACACCCCCCCTGGGACTCTCCTCCCTCCACAGGGGGGTCAGCCCTCAGCCCAGCAGGACAAAACAGATTTTACTGACTAAAACACTCCATAATCCTCACAGTACACTGAGTCCCTGAGTGCTGGTATTCCTAGTGCACCTGTTTTTGGTGGAGTGGAAGAAATATTTCCATCTTTTAAACATTAAAAGAGGGAGCAGCACTGGTCCAGTTCGCTCTGAGGGTGTGATATCTACCCAGAATTATCAGCAGATGAACTAGAAGTACACGTTCTTCTCCATATTACATCTAGCCAAATAAAACATAACATCAAACCCCTTCATAGGCTGGGTAAATTAGTGAATATAAGTGGCAAAATAATTGGGAATATTAAAATCAACTTTAACATCCTTTACAAACAGAGGGTGACTAAGAAAGCCAAAAGCATCAGGGAGTGTGTGTCTCACCCCTCCTCTGTGAATTCACACTTCTCCCACCTGGGAGAAGCCTCTGTGTCCCCAGGTGTAAAACCCACAGACTCAGGAAATCTTTCATCCCCACTGCAATCACACTCTTCAACAACGCAAAGTCACTACCTTGTCTCCTGTTTCTTATCTCCTGTAACACTGCTGTGGTCTCTTCCCTTTTGATGATGTGTATTTGTCATTGTGTTATGTTTGACTGTGCCGTAAAATGAATTTCCTCTAGGGGTCAATAAAGCTTGAGTGAATGAATATACAGTTTAAACAGAAGTGGGACAAAAGCACGTCTAATTAAAATGTATTTCAGCTTGAACTGATATTGAATTGAATTCATTCTAACATTCTCTTTTAAAAGCTTAAAGATAAAGTTTTGCAAGTCTATCCAGGACAATTATGTGTACATAGAAGTAACAAATGTGTCAGAGTGTTTTTCCAGCTTTACAGAACACACATTAGCAAGATAAAACCAGTGAACAATTTAAAATGTTGATACTTTAACCTTGTTGGTAAGACAGTGTCCGTCAGGAGCTGTCCAGAGTAATTTCATGTAATATTTTCAAACACTGCATTCTAGAAGGATATACAGGAATGAAGCAGAGTTCACACAGATTCCTCGTCTGGTTACAACTGCATTTTTATCTTTAATCTCCACCCCTGCAAGAACTGTAGATCAGGAAGGTCGAAGCTGAAAGAATTAAAGTTGATCAATCTCACCACGTTCTCAGGAACAGCGTTAGAGACTGTGGCATGTTCCTGAGGGGTAATTGGACTCTGGAATCAACCCTGAAATTCAGAGAAAGTCAGGGAAACTCAGAGAAATTCAGGGAAGAGGTGTTAGTGGGGCCAGCAGGGGGCGCTCACCCTGCGGTCTGTGTGGGTCCTGATGCCCCAGTATAGTGATGGGGACACTATACTGTAAACAGGCGCCGTCCTTCGGATGAGAAGTAAAACCGAGGTCCTGACTCTCTGTGGTCATTAAAAATCCCAGGGTGCTTCTCGAAAAGAGTAGGGGTGTAACCCCGGTGTCCTGGCCAAATTTCCCATTGGCCCTTACCAATCATGGCCTCCTAATAATCCCCCTCTATGAACTTGCTTCATTACTCTGCTCTCCTCCCCACTGAGAGCTGGTGTGTGGGGAGCGTTCTGGCGCACTATGGCTGCCGTCGCATCATCCAGGTGGGGCTGCACACTGGTGGTGGTGGAGGGGATCCCCATTACCTGTAAAGCGCTTTGAGTGGAGTGTCCAGAAAAGCACTATATAAGTGTAAGAATTATTAATTATTATTATAAAGTCAACAATTAACCCTCTGTGTTTAACAACCGTCCCACTAACTACACCTAATTCTCACACCCTGTCTGAAAGAATATACCTTTATTTTTGTACTGAAGGGCTTTGTTGTTCCATGAATAGTGTGCCGATGAGAAATTGTTTATATATTAATTTCTAAGATGGTTAGTCCAGCCTGTGAAAGGTGGACAACTAGGGATGTTACTTTAATAAAAAATTAACAGAAAGTCCAGATCACCTACTGTATATTTTCAAAGACTAAAGTGGGATTAAGGTTCCATAAATTAGTAGAACTTGTAACCCAGTTGATGGTTATATTTGAGGTATAAAAACACTAGAACAGTCAAGCCACATTGTTTTTTGGGGCTACACAAGATACAACAACAACATCACTTTATTAACCCTTTACAATGTCTTGTATGAGGAATTTGTCTTTTCGCGTACCTCTCCAGGAGACAAACAGACAGGGAGAGAGCTTGAGGTCAGAGCGCCATTGTACAGCACCCCTGGAGCAGTTGGGGTGAAGGGCCTTGCTCAGGGGCCCAACGGAGTAGGATTCCTCTGCCGGCTGCGGGATTTGAACCGGCAACCTTCCAACCACAGGCGCAGATCCTGAGCTACAGAGCCACAGCTCCGCCCTGTCAATTATCAAGATCATGTTATCTGACGTAATGGGGTTTATTCTTTAATATGACGTTATAAAGTAATCAGTCAGACTCATCACTAACGGGTTTAGGAAACTCCAGTGTGATTGAGCCACACAGAATGAGAAACTCCCTCTGCTCTTGACAGCAAGACACGACCTGCCAGCGACAAATCTCTGATTAACCAGGACTGACAGCTGGACAGACAGTATTTCAACTGGAGGCTCAGTGGAAATCAGGGCTCTAGATCACAGTTGAGCAGAGAAGAAGAGGCCAAACTTCCATTTTAAAGACGAGGTTTACTTTCTCAGCTATTTGGAACAAACAACACAATCCAACAGTCCTGGAGTTTCAGCTGCGTCTGAGCAGATCTTTGGAATCGGCTACAATGTGTAAAATAAAAGGCCGCAAAACCACGATAGGAGCAACTGATGGAACTGCTCCAGAAATAAAAAGACGGAGACTGAAAGCAATACAGCCGAATTCATCAACAATGTGCCCTCCTTCAGCCCTGAATAAGTTGTGCAATGACGACTGAATATAAAACTACCTTCTCTTTGTATTTCAATACACCCGTCCAGGTTCGCGAAGTGCTTGACACGTACAGACCAACCCACTGCATCCAATTCTGCAGCGACAGTTTTTATTTGTATTTTTTAGTGCCGCAGCAACACACCCACCTCAAGACCGCACAACAGGCACCAGGGCACTAGCAGCATCGTCACGGTAATATGACGTCACAACATAGGCGTACACGGCGGAGCTGTTAACCAATCAGTACAGGGGCTTTAGCAGTCTCGCCCAATCAGCGCGGACTTCGCGGACATCGCGGAACCCGACGACTTTCCGTGGCTCTCGCCCAGTGATCGCGGAACCAATCAGCGCGGATAACGCGGAACCTGAAGCCTGTCCGCGACACTCGCCCAATCAGCACCGGCTCTCTTGAGCTGGGCGGGAGGGGCGACGCTGTTGTCCAATCAGCGCCGGGCTTGTATCAAATGACGTGAGTGACGCGCCTCTGGTCCAATCACACAGCTAAAATGCCGGGACAGTGGGTGTGTACAGGACTCTATGGAGGTGAGAGTTGAAGTATGCATACGTAGTTTAATAACCTCGTCTTGTAAATGTTTAGTATTAATTCAGTTTTTACGTTAATAAATTTGCACTAAATTGCCCTGGACATTCAGTTCTATACAAATACGAGACAGACACAATTTATCGTCCTGTATTAACGGTGCCTATATAT